ACATGTGCAACTATCACAGCATCAAGATTTCCTGAAATACGACATACCCCATTATAAGAGAAAACAAACAATTAGACATGAGGATATATTTATATAAAATTAAGCACCGAGTAGCCTGAGATATCCAAAACTGATTGTTACCAGCAGATGAATTAGCTGATAACTACAAATTCATTCCCTATTGATCCTCTATTTTCTTCTTTTTGTTTTTCTTTTTCTTGGGCATTTCGGCTGATTCTTCTTGCTCAGCATGCTTTTTCCTCATTTTCTTCTTTTCTCCCACATCCGCATCATTGTCTTCATTCAACTCACCATTCTCACTAGATTCCTTCCTTTTCTTCTTCGTTTCCTCTCCCTTGACTCCATTACATGATCCTGAACTGCATATGCATCCTCTTCATTCTTCTCCTTCCGTTTCTTCTTCTATTTCTTTTCTTTCTTCTTACTGACAGAACTGGGTTCCATCTTTAATATTCACGGGTTCCTGTTCAGTGTTCACATTAGCATTTAATCCCTTGACAATGTAAATTCTTTCAATTCCCCGACTTGCTAACAACTGTTTATCTCTTGTTGTGATAATGATTCTACTTCCAAGGCCAAACCACTCACAGCTTCCAGCTAATGCTTGTAATTGCTCCACTTTGTCAACATCATCAAGAATTAAAAAAATCTTCTTGTTTCGGAGCCTATTTTTTATTATTGAAATTCCTTCATGGAAATTACCCAATTTGAGTTCCTTCTCCCTCGCCAATTTATAGAGTAATGTCTCTTGAAGGTGGGACAAGCCATGCTTGCTAGAAATTTCTCTAACACTCGAAAGAAAACATAAACCATCAAAATTATCAGCAATTGAGTTATACACAGCTCCTGCAATTGTTGATTTACCTATCCCTCCAATGCCCCAAATTCCAATCATCAGCGGGTTTTTGTTGGACCCAAGATCTAGAAGTGAGATTACTTCTTTTACTTGAGACTCAAGGGCAACTTGATAATTGTCAACTTCAGAAAGAGTCTTGGCAGAGACTTCAAGAGTAATAAAATGCTCTTGTTCTTTTGTAATCCTGCCCATACAATTTTATCCTTTGTTCAAACCAAAAATATATTGATGGGCCAATTATAGAATGAAATGGAATGAGAATGAGGATAAAATAAACAAACAATTTTTCAGATACACAGATCCACAATGATGAATAATAAGTTTAAAGATACAAAACATGGTTCCATATCGTCTAGAAATTAAAACGTTTTCTCCTTCCTTCCTCATAGTTGTAAGACACAAGCTCATTTCTAACATAAATAATTAAAAATAAGCATATTTTGTAAGGGGCACAACTTTAACTTGGGTTACAGTTATAAGAAAATATATTACTTACTATAAAAATCTAAAAAATTGGACGGAAAATAACCATAAGAAAAAGAGGGGATACCCAGGTTGAAAATGCCAGCCTGACAAGTCAGCTGCCTGAGACAAAGCCCACCTCCACTTCTGCAACCTCTTATCCTTTATTCCATGTCTGTTCTGGAGATCAGCCAAAGCTTGTCCGTAACTCCCTGTTTGATGTCGCACATCTGATGGATCCACATGATAAAACACTGAATATACCGGCCGACTTTCTTCTTTGAAACACTCAATAATTTGGACAAGTTCATCCAGACAGGAGGTTGAGGTTGCATAGTCTTGGGAGAAAATTATGATGGCTATCCTGGATTCCTTGATGGCTTCAAAAAGAGATGGTCGGATTTCTTTGCCTGCATTGAGGGGTTCATCCGGCTTTGACAAAGAAACTCGTAGAGATGACTGACGAAATTCACACGAGTATCTTCCCCCCGAAAGCTAAGAAACACATCATAACCCCATCTCCATCCCCATCTCCATGTGTAGGTGACAGAAGAAGATCCTGCTCCTTGCGCCAGCCAATCATTTTCTCCCCCCACAAGATGAGCAGCCATGGGTTCTGCTTCTGCTAGAAACCAAAGAAAATAAATTGAAAGTAAGTTAAATTTGATTTTTTTTTTTTGACCTTGAAGTTAAATTTGATTTGGACAATATAAAACTACAAAAGAAAAATATGACATATTATTTTATAAAGTGCTAAATATAAATTGTTTAAAGAGAAAATCCTTAAAAAAAAGTGAAAATTATTAAATTCTAAATCAAGAATTCTTAGAAAAATAAAATGTCATTTGCAAATCAAGCCTAGATAACATCAAAATATAAAAATCTTAATTTGACATTTAATAATTTTCAGGTTATTTTTTATGGGATTTTTCTTTGTTCAGATTTAATCTAATAGACCGGAGGAAAAGTGAGGAGGAACTAGAGAGAACCCGACTATTAATTAATTAATTATACTCAATTGATATTGGCAGTAGGAAGAAGTTGACTGATACCCAAACACACATATGGTCATACATACTTATAGATATATATAGACACACACACACACACACACACATATTTGTTTTTTTGGATATAACAGAAAGGAAAGGCAAGACTACTATACGATTGCGGATTTACATCCTCAACCGAAGTCAAGATCCCCGCTCACATCGTCGGATTCAAACACTCAGAAGGTTGGTGCACTATCCAGGGTGCATTTGGCAAGAAAGTCTGCTATTATAAAAAAAAATTGACACAAATTTGAATTTTTATGGTTTTCCTAACACGAACGAATTTAGGATTAGATACGCAAGGAGCACGAATTTGGGAAAAAAATGCATGGGGGGCTGCAAAATGCTCAAAATATTTTGACAAGTGAAAAAAATTATTTTGAGAAAATTAAGAAATTGTTGGCCACAGATTCGTCATTGTTTTACCATAACCAGCAACTAGTTCAAAATCTGGACAACTCGTTGATAGTATCAAAACAATAGTTGTTCTAGTGGCAAATATTAACACTTTTTATAAACCACCTGTTTAGCTTCAAGGAATTCATGAAAAATTACATATAAGTCTCGAATAAAAGATTTATTTATGAGTGAGTCCTGTGAATTTGTTGAATACTCTTCTCAAGTCTCTGGAGACTTCATGTACCCCACGCCTTTAACTAAAGTTGGCTAGAGCACACCAGTCATGGAAAGTAACTTATGTATTTATATTGAAAAGAATATATTATTTTTTGGTCTTAATATAAGACCTAGTTGACTAATTTGGGGAAATTAAGAAAATTACTAAATTAAAGTAATTATATTTATTGTTCTTTTCCAAACTAATTTAACTCGGTTATAAATTGATATATAATCTAATAATACACAAGTATTTTAGAGAGAATATGTAATATATATTATAACTAAGCAATTTAATAATTTTCTTAATCTCTCTCCAAATTAGTCAACTGAGTTTTATATTAAGAACTACAGGTAGTATTGAACTAAAACAAAATGCAAGAAAAGTGGGGCGTACCTTGATAACGTGTGATTTTCTGGACTGACTCTGCGACTTTTGTTAAATTTGAATCCTCATTCATTTCATCTTCAAGTTCTTCCCAATCTTGAGGTGGTTGTTGTACTTTTTGCCATGAGTTGCAATCGAGGTGTTTTCTCGGGTCCCTGAATCGGATATCTTCCAAGTCATTTTGTTGCCAATATACATGAACTGCCATAGAAATTTCCTTTTCCAATTTTATTTCTCGTGCGTTGCTCTTGATTGAAACCCTCACATGATTCCATCTATTTGCAAGAGGGCATTCAACCTTCTTAATTATGCTTTCAATATCACATATGTATATATGATTGGCCAGTACAATTGATAGTGAAAGCCATTCAGAAGAAATATCTAACTTGGTGTTATTGATGTGCAATGAGAATACACATTTGTAAGGATTAACTTGGTCATTTTCAACAAGAAACCAAAGAGCAATTTTTGGGAACTTATCACGAATCCAAAAAGACATGGAGCTTCCTCGACTATAATAGTCAAGCCATTGAGGGATTCTTTTTCCTGGCAAGAGAAAGTTTCTTTTCCCATTTCCAAAGTAGAATGCCTGCAAATTACATATAATACCATAAAATGATAAATAAACTGTAAGTACCTGAGAAAGATGATTAAGAAAACATTAGGGAGGAGGCTAGAGACCTGATCCAATACTCTTTTTCTGGATGACTTAGACAAAGACGTGCAACCTATGGCGCTGAATGTTTCCAATTTTGGTGGCATCCTCACAATTTTTTGCAATTGCACACAATGATCCAGCAAAAGATACCTTAAATTCTCACATTCTTCTATGCATGCTGGAAGGGTTGTGAAACTATTAAACCTTAGGTCTAAATGTATAATGTCAGGAATACAAGAGACACAAAGAGCAAGAGAGTCATTTGTTAAGTTGCAATTTGAGAAACGGAAATGTTTTCTTGAAGACATGGCTAAGTTTTCTTCTTTTTCTTTTCTTTTGGTCGAAATGGTTGTGCGGTCTAAGCTTGCTTCTTTTTCACCTTCGCATTCCCTGAAATGCTTCATCCCTTCACAAAAATTTGTTGATAGTTCCAATAGTTTTGGCAACATACAAATACTAGCTGGTAACTGCTTAAGATTAGGGCACGCCTCCATGTTTAAGGTTTCAAGCTCAATGAGGTTGCAAATTGAAGATGGCAGTCTTTCAATGGCCGTACTCTCCAAATCAAGTGTCTTCAACTTCTTCATCTTGTCTGATATTTCAGGAAAACACTGAAGAGTTGAACAGCCAAATAGATTCAGATGTTCAAGGCAGGATAGCTTAAAAGTAGGCGGCAAAGTCCTCAAGTTTTTGCATCGCATGGCACTCAATACTCTAAGATTATTCAAGAATCCAAGGGAATCATGGATATCAATTAAGCTTGTACAACCATCAAGCCGCAATTCTGTTAAATTAGAAACTCCCGACAAGTTCGGTATTTGGCTCAGGGATTTACAGTTGCTGAAATTCATGTGACTTAAACTCTCTAATTTCTACAAAACAAAACATAGAAAAAGTTAGATAAAGGGGGAAAAAAAGGCGTAATTTTAGGAGTTTGGATAAGTATACCTTATTAAAAGGTTGGAGCACTACACAACTATTGGACAAATCAAGATGGACGAGTGCTGGTGGATGAAAATTAGATGGCAAGGACTTAAAAGGGTACCCCTTCCATTCCAACACGCAGAGACTATTTGGAAGATATTTGATGCTTTTAGAAAATCTTGCATTCTTTATGACAAGCACTTTGAGCTTCTTCATCTTCGCGAATGCCTTGCCATTCCATTGGATTTCTTTATCTTTGGGTAAGTCAAGAATTATGACTTCAATTTCATCCGTGCCCTTTAAAATGAAAAGCACACTATAAATGCCAAATTTTAGGCATAAAAAAGTCATATAAATGTAAGAATTAAATAAAGAGGCATGTATGTTGTGCTCTAACCGTGTTATTTTGCAAGACATGAAGAATGTCTTCATAACGCCATAACCTGTTACGTTTACCGGGCTCTTTTGGTGATTGTCGGCGAACAATTTCTTTACCCATATCTTCAATCAAGTCATGCATTGTCACACGATCTTTTTCTATCTTTATTAGAGATTTATCCGTCAACACACTAATAGCATGTGTTGGATCAACACCGCGAAAACTCATCAACATATTTATGACGTCTCCCAACTTCTCACCGTTAAAAAAACAGGCCAGGTCAAGAAAAATTTCCTTATGCTGTTCTCTGCTTAAAGCATCATAGCTTACTTTAAGGACTTCAAAAACGCGTTCATGACGTATTCCATCATAATCATTTAATGCAGAAGTCCAATCATCAGCTTTTTTATCACATAAGTGAGAGCCAATCATTATCAAGGCTAATGGAAGGCTACCTGAATATTTTATGGCACGATTCAAAACATCCTTGTAATGATCTATATCCCCCGTAAGGTTTTTAAAGGCATGCCTTTCAATTAACTGAAGAGAGTCATCAGCATTTAGTACCTCGACATAATAAATTTTTTGAATTCCAAGACTTGCTAGTAATTGTTTATCCCTTGTCGTGATAATAATTCTACTTCCAAGGCCAAACCACTCACAGCTTGCAGCTAATGCCCATAATTGCTCCACTTCATCAACGTCATCAAGAATTAAAAGAATCTTCTTGTTTTGGAGCCTATTTTTTATTATTGGAATTCCTTCATTGAAATCACCCAATCTGAGTTTCTTCTCCCCCACCAATTTATAGAGTAACATCTCTTGAAGTTGGGGCAAGCCATGCTTGTTAGAAATTTCTCTAACATTAGAAAGAAAACATAAACCATCAAAATTATCAGCAACTGAATTATACACAGCCCTTGCAATTGTTGATTTACCTATTCCACCAATGCCACAAATTCCAACCATCTCCGATTCTTTATTGGACGAAAGATTTAAAAGTGAGATTATTTCTTGCACCCGTAACCCAAGACCAACTGGATAATCGGCAACATTTAAATGATTGGGTTTAATCTCGGCAGAGACTTTGCGAGTAATCTTCTTAATATGCTCCTGTTCTTTTGTAATTCTGCCCATAAAAGGTTAGCCTTTATTCAAACCAAAAACATGTTGATAGGCTAGTTATAGAATGAAATGGAATGAGAAAGAAGATAAAATGGACAAACAATTTTCCAAATGAGAAATATCTCTGTATGCCTCGGAATCACAAATTTACAATTATGAATAACAATTTTTTTTTTACAGGAATTATAAATAACAATTTTAAAAACACATACATATTCCATATTTTCTGTTGATATTCATTATACAAATTAAAACGTTTTGATTCGTGACAATCAAGATTGATCTCCAAAAAGCTTGTTAGAGAGTTAGTTGGCAATTCCTAAGTAGATACTTAAAGAAATTGAAACTCCCTAATCATTTTGCGGACATCAATGGGTCTTGGTGAACACGGCAGAACTGCAGATCCCATGGAATGGAAATAAAGCGAATTCTTTCAAATCCTCTAGAAGAATACCCAATATCACCGTATCTTTTTGTTAAAATTAAAATATACTTTTTGAGTAATATATTACATAAAAAATAAAAATATTATGAAAACAAATAAATAATAAAATATATAATATATCTGTTATTTTATTAATTTTTTGAATAAAAATATTTTAATACAATACGGAAATTAAATTAAAATATATAGTAACATGTTAAATTATATACATAAAATACTTAAATATATTTTTTTATTCAAAATATATATATATATATATATATATATATATAAGGCTACCCATGGGTGCGTTTCATATTTTCAATCTTTTTTATGGATCATTTCCTCTTTTACCTTTTTTTTGGTTTTCCAACCTCTTTTACTTATTACTAATTAATTTACACATACTCCTAAAAATAGTTTAAAATATAAAATTTGTCATAAAATTTAAGTGATTTCTAATTTTATCATCATTTACTGTACTAAATTTCAACATCGTACAACTACACTAAATTATCATAAAATTTTATAAAAAAGATTAATAAACTTATAAAAAAAAAGTCTTATAATAAGAAGAGAAGGAATAAAAATTTGGATGAAAAATAAAACTAAGGAGAGAGAGGAGCAGGTACCCAGGTTGAAAATGCCAGCCTGACAAGTCAGCTGCTTGGGACAAAGCCCACCTCCACTTCTGCAACTTCTCATCGTTTCCTTCCAATCTCTTTTGTAGATCAGCCAAAGCTTGTCCGTAATTCCCTCTCTGATGTCGCACATCCGATGGATCCACATGATAAAACACAGAATAAACCAACCGACTTTCTTCTTTGAAACACTCAATAATCTGGACAAGTTCATCCAGACAAAAAGTCGAGGTTGCATAGTTTTGGGAGAAAATTATGATGGCTATCCTGGATTCCTTGATGGCTTCAAAAAGAGACGGTCGGATTTGTTTGCCTGCATCAAGGGATTCATCATCAATGAAGGTACGAATCCCTATTTGACGAAGAGACTCGTAGAGATGACCGACGAAATTCAGGCGAGTATCTTTCCCCCGAAAGCTAAGAAACACATCATAGCTCCATCTGCGGGTGACGGAAGAAGATCCTGCTCCTTGCGCCATGATACAGTAATCTCACAGATCTGAGAACTTGTAGGTTTATATTAATGTAAGTTGCCAACAGCAGGCTTCCCCGAAGGATCGTCACATTTCCTTTTCATTTGGTGGCGCTCTGAAAATAATATAAAGACGAGTGCTCAATGGTCAAAAGCAAAACCAAAAAGGGGAAAGGTAAATTCATCTCATCAGATAAAATCGACAATGAATTTCAACGGACCAGCTGAACTCGGCCCTCGTTGGCAAACCTCTTTTCCAGCAACGGGGAATGGGACTCGAATTGAAATCAGGGAGAACACCATGAAGGGAAGGAGAGGGAACTTGGTGATATGCAAACACAGAAGAGAAAATAAAAATAAGCTGAATCACATCAGAGCTTCCTTGATACAACTGGTTGAGGTAAGTAGTGAAATTATTTGATTTAAGCTTTCGGTGCTGATAAGTCGAGCGTGACCCAAACGACGGTTCCTTTAGGAAACAAAGCAGAAAAGAACAAATATCAGTACAATTATTTCGTTGCCCCGCCCCCGGGGAAAGGATCAGTACAATTATTTCAATTTTTATTTTTATTTTTTATTTTTATTAATTAATTGGTAGCGCTTCAGTTTGTTACTAGCCGGTCAAAAAGGTAACAGGTGGATTACAGGCGGATTACAGGCTGTTAATAATTCATTTGTACAATGAATTTTTAAAAAAATAATTATCACTAAGTTTTAATAATAAATTATCATTTACTCTTATAAATTTTGTCATTATAACTTATTTTATTGTCATTAAGACTTGGTAATCATGATTTTTACTTGGGATTTCGTTGCAGTCCTCCCTAATTCATTTGCTTATTTGCTTGTAGGACCTGTTTCCTAACATCTTTTTACTTCCTCCCTCTCATTATATTTTTATTTCACCGTAAAAAATTTAAATAGGTAAGAACACTGCATGGACATAAATAGTTGTATATTACCTCCAATCTTAAATATAAAAACTAGTATAGAATTTTTTTTATTTTAAATATAATATTTTAATTTAGTTTGTTTTCTAAATTTATAATTTTTTTCTCCAAATTCTCCTTACATATATTAAGGATTATTCATTAATAGGTATTTTTCAATGCAAATAATTATATGGGTATTTTAGAAAAATCAATACACATTTTTTATAAATTATTAACTTAACTAATTTTTTTTTAATATTTGCAGATTAGTATTACTTTGTGTGGAAATTAATTATCTAAGCATGCAAATATCAGAAAGGTTCTGTGATGAACTCATCTTTTAATTTCCAGTATATCCCTCCTTCATCTTCTCTCCTTTCTCCGACTCTCTGCTTCTTGTATCCGCCGTGTTACTTTCATTTTCTTCCTTCCACATTCAAAGTACATTTTCTTATTCTTCTTTTTAGGTATTTTAGCCCCATCATTTTCCTTCTTTTTTCCTTATTATATCTTTCTTCTTCTACACTTTAGGCTTTTAACGCTAAGACACGAATCCTGCTTTGACGAAGAGACTCGTAGAGATGACCGATGAAATTCAAGCGAGTATCTTCCCCTCGAAAGCTAAGAAACACATTATAACTCCATCTGTAGGTGACCGAAGAAGATCCTGCTCTCTTCGCCATGATACAGTAATCTCGCAGGTTTGTGAAGACCGAAATGAAAGTTCAACTTGCAGGGTTTATATTAATGTAATCGTCCGCTACTCTTGTGTAGTTTCCAACAGCAGGCTTCCACGAACGTTCGTCGCATTTCCTTTTTCATTTGATGGCCTGGCCCTCTGTAACGCATATGTATAAAAACAAAGCGCACAATAGTCAAAAGCAAACCCAAAAAGAAGGGGGTGGGGGAAAGGTAAATCACATCATTAGATAAGATCGATAACGAATTTTTCATTTTTGTTTTCGTAAAACAGTCCCGTTGATGGGTTCAACGGACCAGTAGAACTCGCCCCTGTCTGGCAAACCCCTTTCCAGCAACGGAGAATGATTAAAGTAATCTCACGGGTTTGTGAAGAGTGAAATGAAAGTTCAACTTGTGGGTTTTATATTAATGTAACCATCCGTTAGTCTTGTGTAGTTGGTAATAAGAGGCTTCCACGAACGTTCGTCAGATTTCCTTTTCATTCGGTGGCGCTCTGAGAAGTGCACAATAGTTAATTAAAAGCAAAATCAAAAGGAGACTTAAAATACGGTGGTCGGCTAAGGTAAACCACGTCATCAGATAAGGGGGTGATGTGAATCTTACTTTCGAGAATAAAAATAAGCTGAATCACATCAGTGCTTCCTCGATACAATTGGTTGGGCTAATTAAAGTAGCGCATTAACAAACCTGAAATTATTTAATCAACTAAGCGTGACACAAACGACAGTTTCTTTGGGATGGGAACCAGAACAAATATCAATACAATTATTTCAAGTTTCTTTTTTATTATTATCTCCTATTCTTAATATAAGAATTCACTTGACTTTTATTTTGGTCCTAAATTTAAGACTATAATATATTTTATCTCTCATATTCATATATTTTTTTCTCAAAATAGTCATTGTGATAATAGTAGTTGTATCCAATACACTTGATTAATAAAGATATTTTAAGAAAAATAATACATGTTTATTATAAATAAATAATTTAACTAGTTTTCTTAATCTACTTAATTTTGTTAACTATCTCGTATATTGAGGACTGGAGGTAGTAATTAATTAATTGGTAGCATCATTTCGTTGCTTACCAGTCAATGGGGTGGATTACAGGGTGTTGATAATCCATTTGTTTATGGGACTTGCTTTTTAACATCTTTTTACTCCCTCCCACCCATTGTGTTTCACCGTAAAACATTTTAAATGGAGATGAACTCTGCTTGGATATAAAAAGTTTTATGTTTTATTTTAATGGCATGCAATTAATTATCTAAGCATACATATATCCAAACAGTTCTGTGATGAACTCATCTTTTAATTTCCCTTCTATCTCACACTCATCTTCTTCCTTTTTCTTCCTTCCACGTTCAAAGTACATTTTCTCCTTATTCTTCTTCTTTGGTATTCTATGCCCATCCTTTTCCTTGTTCTTGTCCTTATTATATGTTTTCTTCTACGTTTTTAGGTTTTTAACGCTAAGCGCATCATCTTCTTTCACATGTAGCTATCTCCTCTTCCTCCATTCTAACCTTTGTTGTTGGACCAGCGGAATTGATCAAGACCATGTTGACCAGTTTTACCCAACTTATTGCATTCTTAGTTTTGCAGGCTTTCCAAATCGGATTGGCAACCGATTTGCTAGTTCATTAGAAATCACCAGTCCAAGTAGTAAGTCTCGATTGAATTAGAGTTTACTTGAGCGTTCTTGAGTTGTCCAGACCAAACCAAACGACCAAAGCTAGAAAAATAGACCCTCGTACACGACATAACACACATATATGTAATGTATACGGTGTATATATTATATATAAGTCCACTTGTATTAATAATAATACATGTCATATACAAACACACATTTTATATTATGCTGATACATGCAAACATGTATATTAACAACATCATGTGCAGTGATGATGAAAAGAAATAGAAAAATCTAGATGTTTAGAACCAGTAGCATCTTTATATAATGCACAAATATCACAGCATCAAAATTTCCTCAAATACAAACGTACCCCAATAGAAGAGGGGAAAAAAAAAACAATTAGACATGTGGATATGCATATATCCATTTGGAGTATGCTATCTCCGATCCTTAATATAAAAGCTCATTTAACTTTTAATTTTGTTCTAAATATAAGATCCAGGCCACTTTATCTCTCATATTTATCTTTTTTTTTCTTTCAAAGTAGTCCTTATAGTAGTTGTATATATTAAATGTTCAATCAAATAATAGTTTTAGCTAATACATAATTTGCAAGGATATTTTAGAAAAGATAACACCTAATTATTACAAATAACTAATTTAATATACTTCTTTAATATACTCAAACTAGTCAACTAGCTCTTATATTAAGGATTAGAAGTAGTATTCAATTAACTATTAGATACTGTTTGGTATGAAAGAAATGGAGGGGAGGAGATGGGAAGGAAAATTTTAATGAGCTCTATTTGAAAAATTGGAAAAGTGGGGTTTTGAAATTTTAATAAAGAGAAGAAATAATATAAAAAAGTAATAAAAATTAATGAAAAACTTTTAACCTCACTTTTTTTAATTTTTTTAATTTGAGCTTATTAAAATTTTTCCTCCCCTCTCCTCCTCTCATTTTCCCTCATACCAAACGGACTTAAGCTGAGTAATTTCTATAAACAATTAATGAAGGCTCACGCGTATATATAAAGACAAGTCCATTGTATTTATTATTTTGGCCGACAACAGTTTTTTTATGCTTTTTTCGCTGATCAACTGCTCGTGACACATACAAACAACATTTTCTTTTAGAGACAAAGGAAACAAGAACGAATATCAATACAATTATTTCAACTTTTTCTTTGGCTTATTTATCCGTCTTCTTCCATCTAGTTTCTTCCATCCGCGTTCAATGTACACTTTCCTGTTCCTTTTCTCATTATAGTCCTCCCATCCTTAATATAAAACGTATTTAACTAATTTGATTAAATTAAGAAAGTTAGGTAAGTTAGCTAACTATAATAAATATGACATGTTTTTTCCAAAATATCTTAATCATCTTTATTATATCCTCCCTCTCTCTCATACTTGATTATGGTTGAGAGAGTATCAATAGGGGTGATTTAAGAAAAATTGATAGATATAAGAAATAGGTCTTATATAACTAAAATCAACCCCACAATTAGATCATATATTAAGGACCAGAGGAGTATCTTTTTTTCTTCTTTGCTATATGTTTTTAATAAACGCTTAGCATCACCTTCTTTCACATGTAGCTTCTTCCTCTCCCTTTGTTTTCAGCTTTGTTTTTTTGGACCATCGACCATGCATGTTTACCAGTTGGGAGCTGCCTGACAAATCAAAGATGCATGGTAAATGAGCCCATACTTAGGAGTCATAGCCTAGTCTTCGGGGCCCCAAAGAGAGCCATTAAAAATGAAAAGCACACAATAAAGATCAAATTTCAGGTATACAGAGGTCATATAAGGGTAAGAATTGAATAAAGAGCCAAGTATGTTGTGTTCTTAACGTGTTATTTTGCCAGAG